TATAAAACCCGCACAGCTAGCTTCAGTCCTTTTCAAGTTGCTGATAAAAGCTGTCGTCGTTAGTATGTGAACATTATTGAACAGGGAAGAACAGTTTGAAACTGATAGAGCTATCCATTATAAATAAAGTTAGTTTAGCTTAATAATTAAAACAAATCATAACAAAAAAAATTGAAGAAGCGGGTTAGTAAGAATATGTAATTTTTCACTTTGTTCCTCGCAAACTTGATTTCAGTTGACCTCTCAAATTAGCTCTCAGGTATTCTGGTCGAATTCTACGTTCATGTCTTTCCCATTTACAGATGATGATGAGAGCAAGTATTGCGATTGCTCCCGTGGCAAGGAAACAGACGGTGATGGTTAAACCCATGTTACTCTCCTTGTCTGGTGTGGACGGTGTTGGTTTGTGGGGGTGACTGTTGCGTTCCTCTGGATCTGGAAGAAAATATGAAATTACTGCATGGCTGTTGAATCGCAAATGTGTAATTTCATATACTGTATAAAAGGACAAAATTCTAAACTGTTGCGTAAAAAATTAGAATATACTGTGGCCACATAAACATCATTACGTGAACTACCATTAGTCATCACCATTATCATCCCCATCATCATCATCACTATCATCACCATCATCAATATCATATACCATCAGCATAAACAACCGGCATCACCATTATCACCACCATCATCATTAAGTGCACTTCCATTATCAACATTGCCACCATTATCATCATCACCATCACCTCTCCTCCTCCCTATGTACCTAAATATTTCTGATCATCTTCACCATCAGCAACCGGCATGCATCACCATTATCACCATCATTATTATAACCATCATCAATACTATATGATCAGCATAAGCAATCGGCATCACCATTATCCCCACCATCATCATGACCATCGCCATCACCACCATCTTCATCATCATAGTTACGTGCCGACTGCCATTATCAGCATTACCACCACTATCATCATCACCATCACTCACTACCCACCACCTCTCCCCCTCCCTACGCACCATGCACCACCCTCCCCCTCCCTACGTACCACCACCTCTCCCTACGTACCATGACCATCGCCATCACCACCACCATCACCATCATCACTATGACCATCACTACCAAATTTCTGAATAAAAAATCTTGCATAACTTACCTTTCACCAATTTTTGGTCGTCTTTCCTTCCTTCACGATCCATCAAAAGTTCTTGAAAAATTGGAGGAGATCTTCCACTATTTCTCCTCAAAACATCCGTGCGCATCTCTCTATTTTCCCAGCCATAGATTTCGACATGAAGACATGGGAGACGTTCCCATTTCGTGACGTGAAATTTCACATGTCTTGTCGTGATCTTATGCCGGAGCCAATGACGGCTAAAGCGTCCTGTTGACTTTTCATTTGTTTGAAAAATCTAAAGCGCAAAGTTTAGTTTTTCATTCATTGCCTGCGCATTCATTCATTGCCTGATAGGCCAAACGTGTACTCGGTAGCCAACAGTTTTATAGTAGGCTGCAAAAATCAACCGTCAAAAACGGGCTTATATTTCTTATTATTCTGAAAGGAACTTAAAATCTAGATAAATCTGCTGTGGCTAAGTATATTTGGATTCATGATCATCGCTAAAATGGGATAAAACAACATTTATTTTGGCGAACGATAATCATGTACGTTTTCCCAAAAACGAGAGTCTCAAATGCCCCCCTGGTGCTAAATAGACGCGGTGTTTCACGATTAAAATTATACGTGACTTATAATTTAAATTCAATTCAATTCAAAAACTTAATTCAATTCAAATAAAAAATCTAAGGCTAACCTGAATGGACAGACTTTCATTTGATACACGTTTCTCTACATCTCTATCTACATATACCGTTATTTCATTTTACAAACCTTTACGCCTCCGTTTTCTTGATAGAAATACCAAGGTCCATCGTTGTTTTTCTTGTAACTCAATTTAAATTCCGTCGCTGCGTCATCTTTCCTGCTTGCGACACCAGTAATGGTTATTGCGCGTCCCAAATCAATCTGTAGAAATTGTTTTTTGTCTTTTAAACCTGGACACCAGCTACGTTCCTGTCTGTAAAATTACAAGAAAACGTTTGTCAGGAGTAATTAAAACGTTCATGATTTTACCCTTTTCGTCCATTTCTACCAGGGAACTTTTCGAATAAGACGCAATGTGGGCACAGTGGTGTAGTGGAGGCCCCCCCCCCCTTGTTAAAATTTCATGTTGAATTTTTGAATAATTTTAAACGAGAATGTTCTTTAGAATTGCATCTACAAAAAGCGGTACAGAAACCTTGAATTACATACCCTTTTGAGACGCTTAGAATATTTTATATTACTAACGGCAATTGTTTTTAATAAGCATAATTTTGAATGTTTGTCCCACAATTATTAGAAAAAAACCCAACAAAATTTAGAATTTCCAAAATATCATATTGTAACCCCCCCCCGCCAGTTCAGGACACTTTGGAGAACAGGGACGAAACTACCCGTGTGTGTGTGTGTGTGTGTGTGTGTGTGGGGGGGGGGGGGGGGGGTGACACCCCCGTCTCTATCTCATCGGGTATATACCCATACAATTCAGGCAAATTTTGAAAATATTTGAGTGTCTCAGATTGAAAAGTAATCATAGTATAGTGGCAGAAAAAAGGGTAGTGAAAAATGCTCCGCTCACCATGCAACAATTCTGGGAAAAGAAATATTAATTAGCGACTGATCAAATGTTCGTCCCTCAGGAACGACTTCGGAAACGCCCTTTCGGTCGGGCAAAACAAGATAACCCTCACCCCCCCAGCCGTAAGAACGAAGTTTCGCTCCTGTTGGAGAGCCCCCCTTGTTAACATTCCAGGTTATACCACTGTGTGGGCAGCAACCATGCAGAAAAGCGTGCGTCAGGGATAGATATTTGAATAAATTGCGTGCAAATAGGATGCATGCTATGATGTATGCTGTGCTATATGTGGATACAGCACGTTTTAGAACCGCGTATCAGAAAATAGGATGAAAATAATGACACGCCTTAGACTTGACTAAGAGAAAGAGCTTTCTGTGGTTGAAACATGACGTGTGTACTACAGTATTTAGTTCCTAGTTTCAGAGTATAAATAAAGTGTACACAGAAGTGAAAAATATTATTGTAATTATAGAATGTTTAGGAATGTGTCTGGATAGATTATCATAGTATGTTCATGCAGAATGCGTTCAGAGACCGTGTATTGACCCATTCGAAAATTAGCCTACACATTTTTTGCATTATTATATGTCGGGTGTCCAAAAAAAAAACCTGGACACTATTTGATTTCATGTAACGTAAAAGTTATAAAAGCTATCGCAAAGAAGGTAAGATCATTGTATTCAGAAAGGACTAACTTAGATTTTGATATATAACACTTGAATTTACAAGCAATATTGAGCGAGATACAATTAATTTAACCAAAATAAAAATATTTATCATTTAATTAACAAGTATAACTACACGGGTAATTATAATGTTGTTTTATATGCTAATTCTTGGCATTTTCAAAAACAGCAGTTCGACGTTCAAGCATCAATAGCGCAGTCAATATTGCATGTAAATTCAAGTGTTATATATCAAAATCTAAGTTAGCTCTTTCTGAATGCAATGACCTTTATTTAACGTAAAATAGTTAGAAATTTCGAATTAAAGAATAAGCCAGTTCAATTCAGTACAAACTATCTTGCTCAAGAACACTATCTACACTAGACCCTCAACTAAAGATATCTTTTCAAAGTAGTTCAAACGTAAACCACGACAACTTGTTGTACAATACTATCGTGCACTGGGTCCCCACGTTTGAGACATATTGACACTCAGCCATACTAACAAAACAATCTGTACCAAAATCAACTATAATCACTATATACTTAAAGAAACTTACATCAAACTAATCGCTGGGACGTCTCTCTTTAAAACATAAGAATTTCCATTGGAAATGTAGCAAAATTGTAGCAGAAAAATCGAAATTGTTGCGCCCTGCGATAGCTGACGCATCTTGGCGCAAATCGCGCGCGTTCTGAGTGCAAATGCCTTCTCATGACGTCACACAAGCGGTTTGCCTTAATCAATGACGTCACAATGAGAGAATTTGTTTATTTCCATTCCTCATTTTACGACGCATAGATCAATCTGGAATCTCAAGGACTTTTTGCATTAAATCTTGCATAATTATACGGAATCTGGTCATTTTTACAAGTTCTTTGCGATTCACATAAAGAAAGGAACCATTTGAGATATTGTAAGACATTCAACGAAGCGTTTAAAGCGGGAAATTTGCAGGTAAGCGCGGGAATTGACTGTACAATGACCCAGGATCAAAATGTATTTGTATGAAATCATTTATACATAGTTTATGTCGTTGTTTTGGTTTGCGGGATATTGTATTCAGGTAAAATACATTATAATTATTATGTATTTGTGTATTTGTGGGTGGTCAGTGATGGAATTTTTTTCTACATAAAGGCGATTGGATGTGTTAATCAAGCTAGGATCAAATATTTTAATAATGGCGGTTTGGCAGACAGACAGCAATCAAATGGTATTAATCGACTTTTTAATCAACTTCAGGAATCTAAGAGCAATTACATTAAAAACTTAATCATATTTATTGCTTCCAAATACAAGACTACTGCTAATAATGATCAATTTTATTTTGAGCCCACATTTGTGTACGAGGATTTGCTGCAACTTTCAAACGAAATATCTGTGATACAGCTCAGCCATATTTTATGATCCCGTTTTGCTCATTTGCTGGGACTGTGAGGCGGGCTAATTTTGATGTATTGAATTAAGTCTGCAAAACTACATCATTTTTCTAGTGATAGATTACAGTATAATTGTAAACGAAAAGTTATTCAAGCAGCAATAATAATCTTCTTCAACTACAGGATCTTCTCGACAACATTTGAGTTCTTTTGAGTGGCATATGAACTTTTGTATAATGCTAGTGATTTATTTCATTACATCAAAATCATCTCGCCTTCCATCATGTAAAATGTGATTGCTGGGAAATTCTGAGCCATTGGTTTACTCTGGAGACTGCTCCATTTACTGGATTTTCGGAACACTAATTGAATCGAACCGAAAACGGTCACATGACTGTTCTGACTGCCGCTACTCAAATGTAGGGTCAGCCAGAACAGTCCTGTGACCGTCGGAACAGTCATGTGACCATTATTGGTTCGATTTCTGGAGTACTCCGAACAGTAAATGGAGCCTCCTGGTGACATTTAAAATCCCATTTCTTTAATTTTTCATGGCCGGGGCGGGGACATGCTCACAATCTTCCTACTTTTTAGATAACATGACTCCGTATCCGAAATTGCAAACGTTGCCTTGTATAACATTGATTTAGCTATCATAAGTTGTTCAAACTAATTCTCAAATTGACGATAACATGAATGATATATAGAAGATGCCGTAATGGGTCATTCCAGAAAACATCCATACCACCCCCACCAAGGAAATTGGAAGTTAACCCCCCTACCCCCTTCGGATGTCCTAATACATTTACTATTATCAGAAACAATTTTGTCTTCCCTCCCTCTCCGGACAGCAGAAATTTCCTCCGTGGGGGGAGTGTGGATCTTTTCTGGAACGACCCAATACGGAAAATGACTTTTTTTAACATATGTATTAGTTGACATGTTGGTTATGAAATAGTAAAAAAGTCATTTTCCGTATGTTGTGCATAACGTTTCGTTTTCACTTGAACCACTCACATATATTGTTACATTCCATCACTGTAAATTCATATTCCTTCACCTGTTGAAGGCTATACAGTACATCTCATAGTCGAAAGTTCGTAAATAAAAATATCTATCCAGAGAATGTCGCGATTCATTATAAAGTGTCTATTATTTTGTATTTTTTGATAATAGGGGTGCACCGGAACTCGGTTCCGGCCGGTTAGTTCCGGCCGGAACCCCGATTTTTTAGAGTTCCGG